CACCACTTTGTAGACGCTCAAAACTGGCCGTGCATCAGAAAATCTAGAACGTGGGTTTTTAAAACTCTTAATCCACACACCTTATTTACCCTTTCCCTTGTACTGTGCACTATTCAGAGAGAGGTTCTGAGTGTAATTACCACATTTGAAAGAGCTCCTTGAATGAGTTTCTTCTGCAGTTCTCTCTCCCTGGGCCTCTCCTCCAGAGCCGCCAGTCTCCTCTGGTTGTCCTGCACCTGTTTCTGTTGTAGGTCCCTTTGAGGCAGCAGCATGAAGACAAAGCTCCTTATCTTCCAGAAGGCTTGCCTTCCCCTTCTCACATGCATTAGCTTCACAGTCTGCATTTTTATTGCTTGCATTCCTCTTCCATTTTTTGGAAAGCAGTTTTGGGCTCTCCTGTTGCCGTTTCACGTGTTTCCGGGCCCCTGCAGCGTTACTGTCCCCGTCACTGCTCCCGCTGTCACTCTGAGCAGGGCTGGCACAGGCAGCTCCATGCTCTGAACTCTGGGCTTGTAGAGAATTCCCATCTTTCTTCTGCCCTTGTAAATGTGGCCTGGGAACAGGCTCATGTCTCTGCTCTGACAAGGAGGCAGCACCTGACAGTGCCTCGTGCTGCTCACAAGGCACGTTTTGTGTCTCTTTACTGCTGACTTCAAGTGAACACAATGGAAGGTTCTTGGGCTGTCTTTTAGATGACTCCTCCCCAGAATGACACGCACAAGCTTCCAGTCCTAAACTTCCTCCAGACCCCTTCTTTAACCCACTGCTGTCCTTGGTTGCCTCTTTTACACCAAGGGACCCCATTCCCCTGAAGGGCCCATACTTCAAACGTGAATTCTTTTGTCCCTTGGAGCTTTCCTCGTTCTCCTCCCCTGCTAAAATATCGGCCAGCACATCTTCAGGACAGATGCTATTGTTTTTAACTGCGGGGTGAAAATTAGAAAGTTTAGGTTTATTTACATTACCCTTAGGATTTTCTTCAGCACTGGACAGACCAGAACTCTGTGCACCATCTGATTCCTCTGCAGGTGTCCCAGTGCTTTTGGCAGCCAATGCTTTTAAGGCATCTAAGGAAAGGTCTAAGCGGTAACAGTTTTGCATCATGGACTCATAATCAGAACTGGTTTCAGACTCCCCTTGCTCAGACGCTGAGTAAGAGCTCTCACTATCACTTGTCTCTGCTGAACTCTGTGAGGCAGCAATGTTGGATTTTTTAGTTCTCCCCTTTCTTTCAATGTGTTTTTCTTTTACATGTCGAGTTTTCAGTGAGGAGTCATTTACCAAACCGCTTTTTTTTTTGGTTAATATTTCTTTATTTTTCACCTCCACCTGTTTAGAATCTTCTAAACTTGTAGTTTTGCTGCTGTTTGGATCTGGAGTTTTACTTTCAGCAATCATTTCATCCGTATCTGCTGAAGCAGAACCATTACCATGTTCCATGGTCTCTTTGTAATTTCCTTTGATAGCTTTCTTCATGGCATCTGGATTGCATAAGGACCAGT